TTACAATAGAATTATACTGTTCCTGTGATTGGACTGGAAACAGGACATGAAAGAAGGATGGGCAGTTTTTTTCCATCAGGCACCTTATTTTTTCCCATGTCCAGCAATGTCAGGGACTGAAAATGGTTGGCTTTTTAGGATGGGAATTGAAATGCAAATTTTGGTAGTGACCTGTGGGGACAAAATGGGTGCTGAGGGCTACAGGTTGGCCCAGTCCTATAATAAAATACAGCAGCAGCCTTATTCCTACATATTCATGAGATACCAGGGACTTCTGAGTGCCCAAACCAAAAGCAACCCCAGCCATCCTGTGTTTGGAAAATGCTAGGCAGCTGAAGAAGGAAAATTTTTATTTTTTGATGATCAGAGTACAGGATGGGGGAATTCTGTGTATTTCTGAATGTAATTTTGATCATCAATTGCGATATACACACACACATACACACACACATATATATACACACACACACACACATATATATACACATACATACACATATACACACACATACATACATGCACACACACACACATTCATTCTCTGCATTATTTTTCTGTAACAGTTGCTTATTGGCATAAGCAAATTTATTCCATGTGCAGTCTTTCACAAAACATAAATTGTTAAATTGAAAGAGGCCATCACCATGGATTGTAACAAAAACAGGCTTTTTAAAGACAGTGCTTGCTTGAGTGACTTGTGGATTACATGCCGGCAGGGGGGTTTGCAGGATATGGTGAAAAAATTCGAGATGGTGGCCACAATGGTGTGATCAAAGCTCCGCTCGGTTTTCTGTGTGTTGGACATACATAAAAAAGGGGTGCAGTTTTGATTGCATCATTGTAGCTGCCGTCTTGAATTTTTTTTACCATACCCTGCAAACACTTCTGCATGCCAGCAAATGTGTGAGCAAGGTAAATTTGTAAAACTTATGTAATCTGGAGCCATTGGCTGGCTCCTTCAAAAGTAACCATTTTATAAACCACAGTTATCTGGCCATGGATATGCTTCTGTCAGCATGTCTATTCTGAGATGCGTTAATCTTGCAAGCAAACTAAGTGTGTCTGGTATATTATGAACAGTAGCTTGGTGCTCCATCTATTCATGTATTCCCACTCCCCACTATTAACTTTCCCATATATACCTTGTAGAAGAAACCTCTCTCTTGTAAACATGAAAGGTATTTTTATATTAGATTATGCTGGTGATGAGAACAATCTTGACTGTATTTTATGTAAACAGAATGTTTTTATACTTTATAGCTCGGAGGCATGATCTAATAGCAATAATAAACTAAGCATCTCATAGGTTAATATATATTTTAAGAATTTTACAAGTATATTTTTGTTGTTGATACTTTTTACTTTATCAGTGAATAACTTGAATTTTTACATGTCATGTTAGATTGTTTGCTGTGGTATGCTGTAAGTCTCAATTATTTGCATATTTTTTTAAAAAAAGTTATTTCTGCTTAGTTAAATTAAGAACAAGATTTAATACTTTCCTGTTTTAATGTCTTACAGCCAGGATGAATAACATGATTCTCTTCTGATGTTGTTATCCTCCAACTCCCATCAGTCCTAGCTAAGATGGGTAATGGCAAGGGATAATGGGAGTTGCACTTCAAAAATAACTGGAGGGCCATACATTGACCACTCTGGCCTACAGCCAGGTAGTTTTCTGATGTCTAGTATGGCATGTTTTTCAGGGATATCTAAATATTTATGAAGGAGAACTCTAACTATGGCTCCATTTAATGATGCACAGGAGAAACATAGAACGTCTCCCAGTTCTGTAATAATCTTCGTTTAATGCAGCAGCAGGGGCTCTGTTCAGAGCAGGGGAAAGGAAGGGAGGATAAATATCTGCTTTTCCTGATACTTCCCCCTCCCCCACAGGAAACTATTTGAGCATGATGCTTCCTCGCTTATTGGGGAGAAAGCAGAAACACACATACACACCATTCTGATGACATATAAATCTAACTTCTGCAGAACAATAACAATGAGTAGACCCAAGTTGCTTAGTTCTCCACTGAAGTGGTAAGCTTATGCCTGGCTTATGTGACTTGAACTCATAGGGGATTTGTGTGATTGTATTATTCTTCTAGGTAAAGAATTAGTTCACTATAAAACGATTCTTAGGATCCTATTACCTAGTTTTCTATGTACAGCCAAGATACCAACTGATCACCTCTGTGAGAATTAAATCAGGCTTCTGAACTGCAGCTACCTGTCCATCATGTTATGGTTCTCTATGTTTAGTTGATACATTACACATGCTATATTCAATAGAACTTACATGTGACTATCACAGTACAAAATACATGTGGTATCAATTCAGAATGGCTCATGTATTTAAATTGTTTTTTATATATATACATAATTACAAAGGTATTAACTTTTCCCTATAGCCAACATCAAGAATGATATAGGATATCCCACTTACTTTAATATACACATGCCATTTTCAGTTGATGTTCTGCAATACACTTGGGTACTGGATACTCAGTTCAAAGTTTCAGTTGTGATTTGGACAAGAGTATTTTATACTTTGTTTGCTTCCCATGCAGAAACTGTATTTTTTTTAATGTAGTTTTTCTGTTTCAGTTTTTCTCTGGTGCAAACTTGGTTCTGCCACTTTCAATACTAGATTTCTTATTCTCTATATTTGTTCTTAAATAAAATCTGTAGGAACTTCTTCTGACTTAGCCTCTCCATTTTTAAGAGTATTGCTCAGAAATGTATTTTAACAGCATGTGAGCAGAACAGAAGGCAGTTTGTTTGATTTTTTAAAAATGGAAAGTTACCTTCATGCTCTACAAACATAAATAATAGTACAATAGGGAAGGAAGCTTTAAGTGTTAATATTCCATAAGAACCAACAATTACAATGTGAACATTAACTACGTTTTATTATTCTGATCGCCAAAACCTGAAATATATCAAGAGACTGGGGACAAAGTTGCATGTTGTATTTATTTACTTTATTTATTAAATTTATAAGGCCACCCGACTCCATACAATATAAAAACAATTTAAAGATAGAGACAACAACATGGGTCTGAAAAGAAATGCCAGTCTCTAAAGCAGAGCCATACAACACATCCATATCCCAGGAAAAGGCTGGGTTTTAAGGGTTCTTTTAAATAAGACCAGGATGGGGGCCAAACAAATCTCTGGAGAAATGTTCCAGAGGACAGGCACTGCAACAGAGAAGACCTACTTCCTGGATCCCATCAGTAACACTGTTTAATGGATGGGATCTGGAGCATGCCAACTGTGCCCGATCATAAGGATGGGCAGAAACTACAGAAGGCAGATGGTCCCTCAGATGACAGGTCCTATGCCATGTATCACAGAGTTGGATGCAATTCATAAATCGTATGCTCATTTGTGATCTGCTTCAGGTATGTTTCCCTTCCTCTTTCAGAGTGGAAGTACAACAATGAAAGATGGGAATTTGAGTGATGTAAGTTGCATCTATAACATAATTTGGTAGATACATTTTATAATATGACTGCTGGCTTTACTTGTTATTTGGAAGTATTGCTGATTAAGAAGTATATTAAGGGTTTGAATTGGCTGGAGATCTTGCCCTGAGCCTTATTTGTGCTTGTGGCAAGTTGTATTGTGTATTGTGTTGCTCTGTAGAATTAGTAAATTAAATAGTTTTCTCTATTCCAGCATCCCCAGGGAAGGTATGAATTGGCTTGTGGAAGTCACATATGGAATCTGTCTAGGATTTAATGTTTTAGAAGTTGAACATGAAAACCTGCAGTGGAATTCTAGGGACATTTAATGGTATACTGTATATGTAGAACCCATTCTGATTTGGAACCCACAGCTATCAGGATTCTGAGCTGGGAGTTCTAGACATGGACACCCCCATGCCTATAGAATGCTGTTCTAGATTCTCATGCTCAAAATTCAGAGGCATGTATCCAGGAAAGGAAGGGATGCATTGGTTGCATATTCAATTCACTTTTGGTATCTGAATGTATCCTTTCCAGCCATTAAAAGCAGGAACAATTGTCTAGCAGCAAAAAGTTGGCACGATAGCCCTACGCCTTTCATACTTCAAAAGCAGTTAATTGTGTTTCAGTCTTCATGTCTTCATAGTCAGTACCTGAGATGTTCATATCTTCTTGTCAAAATCTGCAAATATATGAGAGTATTTTTTTCGACAGTAATTTTGGCAAGGGAAAATTAATAGATACAAGTATGCACAGATATCTATAATAATAGATGTACAGATAGGGAGTTCTATTATAGACTGGCATTTACTGATGGATATATCATTTTAATCCAAACCAAGTAAAATATGCAAAATGTTGCTCAGAGGGGTGTTAGTATTTTAATATATGCAGACCTAGTTTACAGTTGTTTAATTATGAGCCCCATGTTAAACGTGGTTGGCAGAGGGTATCCCAGACTAACCTTTCACAATATGACAGGAATGGGGAGATAAGACTATATTCACAACAGTATCTAATAGGATTTTACTTGCCAATATCTTGTGTTATAAAATGTACACGAGCTTAAGTGCTCTCTGCTCATGGGTCAGCTTAACTGCTAAAGTTTCCTCTCTAGGGAATTGTGTAAGGGAACTGTCATACAACTTCTGCACTCAAGAAATTATGAAATATAAACAACTATTTTTTTTAATTTACACTTTAATTTAATAGGATGCAGTCTTCAGTAGGAGAAATTAGAGCAGTTGCCTCAAGAACTGGGAATTGTGAAGATCGTGCTGGCTGGGGATTAAGGGAGCTAAAGTCCAAAATACCTGGAGTGCATCAAGGGTGGACGTTCCCATTGTTTGTACATAAGTATGTAAAAACACTGAGGCGAAGCTAGATTTCTTTGATGCGGACCATAGGATAGGACGATCAGTAGCGAGACTTTGTGACCTCACAAATGCGTGCACTCTAGTCCCGCCCACTAAGAGCCTATCCGTATAAAAGGTCCTCGGGGCTCTTCTCCAACTTCAGAGGAGGCTCCGGCGAGGGGCGAGGAAGGAGCGATCTCGTAGCTGACGAGCGTAAAAATAAAAAAAAGGTTGGGGAATTTTCAGGGCCCCCGCGGTCGTGAGGGGCTTGCGCGGTCTCTTACGCCTCACACGGGATCGGAAGGGAGGGGGGCAAGGGGGGGGGGG